AATATATAACTTTAAGTACTCAGAAAACATTCAATGATCAGCCGAAGAATAACAGCATTCAGCTTCAAGTATTAATATCATCAGAAACAAACTCTTCTAAAAGGTGTTTCTTTTGGATTAAGAAGAACTAAATTTCATATAGAACAGGGAAGTTTCTTCTAGCCTAATGGAAAGTCAAACGAATACAAAAACAAATGAATAGAAGAAACAAGATTCTCAGCTATGAATATTTAAAGCATGCCCATATGCACTGAGTATATGAGGGCAAAATAATGTCTGAAAATATTTATTATAGTATGAAGAAATTATGCCAAGAGAAAGAATAGAAAATGCTTTTACTATTTGAAAGGTATTTTCCATTTTCAGCATACTTCACAAAAATTCCTAGTTCTTCCACAACTAATGTAAAAGCAGCTTTGTGCATCCTGGTTCAAGGCAGGAAAATTGAGACTGACTCCCTGACAGAACATTCCCATGAAACCCAGTAGTAAAACCAAATGAACCAACTATTTACTGTCTACTGTCTGGGGGACAGTAATAAACTAAATGTATAAACTAATACAGAAAATTATGCCTTCAAAAAAATAATTTCCTTTACCAAGTCATGTTTTATCGTTGAACTCTAGAGGTCACTGTGGGACTTGTTAAGAGCAGACCTAGTGTACTCCGTCATTCCCCACCATGCTGATTTTGAGTCTGGGATTTGTGATAACTTCAACTGCCATGTAAGCTTCTCACGTCTCAAGAATAAGCAAAACAACTTAGCAAGCATAAGGATACAGATTTCCAGAAACAGCTAGTATCTGTGGCACTCTAGTCAAAAAGAATGCACAACAAAATTACAACTATGACTGTGAAACCATTTTAATCTCAAAATTATTTCTAGCATACTTAAAATATTATTTCCAGGGATCTGGGTATCACCCACTACTATACCATGTGTATAGTTATTTACCACCAGTTTCAGAAGAAAATTTATTTTGGTAACAACATTCAGTTAAATTAAAAAACCCTGTAATTTTAAAATAAATTAAATGGAAGACTCCTGGAAAATCTTCCAAATACAGTAGTTAAAAGCATTGGCTTTCTTTTTACAAAAAGCATATGTATTCAGTTACAAAGCTGCATATTGGAAAAATCAAGTCTGATTCTGAAGTTTTCTAGAGAAATTATTTCATTTAACCTGAAAATCCTCAAGAGGTTCTGTTTTCCTAGTACCTTTTGTTGACAACTTCAGTTTTCTTCCCAGCTGAACAATGAACAAGCATGTGTGGCATATTTTTTTAGGGAAGAAAAAGGAAGTAAAAATGTGATAGTACAAGAGGGTTATTTAGAGACATAAAGCAGCTTTGCCTTTTCTGGTATCTTGGTGTGCTCAGTGAATTCCAGTTCCACAGAAGAATGGTATTTAAAAAAAAAATGTAAAACTTCTATAATGGAATACTAGATAATTAAAATATTTTACAAAGTTAGAGTCTACTTGCTGTTCAGCTGTGTTTTCTATCTAAGATTTTTGTTAGCTTCCAAGAAAATTTGCCTTAAAAAAAGTAGGAACACCAGAGAAAGATGTCTGGGAACTGGCTGAATCTCTTCAGCTTCATGCATTGCAGCCTTTATGGGGAGGAGCATTTAACTAAGAACAGACTGTGTGATAAGCACCAGATATGGAAAAGCAGCCACTTTACGACAAGTTATATCATTAGAGAAAAAAAAAAAAAAAAAAAAAAAAAAAAAAAAAAAAAAAAAAAAAAAAAATATACAAATTCTCTATTAGATGTCCAGGATGTAGGGCATCAGGAAAGCCACTCCATCAGGATATCAGAATATAGCCATTAACAGTAGTCCTCATAGGACAAATACAAGATGTGAAAGAAGTTTAATAAAGCAGAAAAGTACTTTAAGTAAGAACTGCATTCAGTCCAGGACCAAGCGCACAGCACAAGTCCCAGCTGCAGACACGATGCCAATGAACGGGAGGAGAACCCCGGAGTCGCTCCAAACCCATTCCCCCGCCCAAGCACCATCCACCGGCAGCAGAGCACGACCGCCTGCCGCACCGCCTCTGACAGGCGGAGGATGCACAGACCGGCGGTGCTGGTCGCTATGGACTCTGCCGGTTCTTTTACATCGAATCCCTTCCCGCGGGAAACAGAGCTCTCGGTAATCGGAGGGCGAAGAAGGGAGGAAGCGCACACCGCACCGGCGCCGGGGAGGCAGGTGCCGACGCCTCACGCGAGCGGCGCTTCCGCCGGCCCCGCGCGGCCCCGCCCCAGGACG